TAAAAGTGGGAAAAATGAGAAAAAATTTATCAACAGTATTTGGATCACCTGGGAAGGAAAAAAGATCTGGCATCAGACAAAGGTTAATCCTGAGATAAATCTTTGCATTTCAGACTTTCATTTAGGAGTAAAGTTAGAAAATGAAACCCTAAAACATATTTCCTCTGACAAAGACATATACCGTAGTCTACAAGGAAGGGTGTTCAGGGCACAGACCATTTACTGCAAGATACAAAGAATATACGAGAAACCGCTTCCACCAAAAGGCAAGGCAATATATGTCAGGGACATTTCCTTGCCTGAGATGGATAGATAAGCGTACAACAGAAGGGAAAATACTCAAATTGCACTTTGAGGCTGACCAAGCCCTTTTCCCACAGTAAATTCTTTGTATATACACATCAAAAACAGATCCAACAATCCATTTGGGAAAACCGAGGTCAGTCTACAGCCTTGTACAGAACTGGAGGGGGAGGGAGGGCATTTCTCCTGTGAGGTCTGGACAGAGCGCGGTTTCCACATGACTAAGTGGTTCCTCAGCCTGCTGTGCCCAGCTGGGGCAGGGGCTGGCAGAGTCGGGCTCATGGTCTTCCCAGGTGTGAGAGCTGCTGCTTTTGTTTCCTGTGCCCCCTCCCCTGCCCTTACCCTTGCTGCCTTGACAGATGGCGCCCTCTGTGCTACTGTCACATCTGCCCTTCTCTCAGACAGGCCTTGCCTGAGGTGAAGACTCTTCTTGTAGGAGGAAGCCTAGCTTGTGCTATTCAGCTGAATGCTTTCGGATGCTGTCTGGTGGGGATGATGGACCCCGTAAACAGTGGCTGTGGAGAAAGGCCCATATTCTGTTGGGGCTCAGAGGCTGAAGGAGAGACTGGGCTTGTCCACTGGCCTGTGGAAAGCGATGGAATTGCTGGCACTATATTTCTTCAAAGCAGTGCAGGAGAGGGGAAGGGCACTGGCCTGGGCACTGAGACCCCATGCTAAATGGGCTCTGTGGCCTCAGGCAAAGTCACTTACCCCAGGGACTTCTTCTCTGATAACTCAATAACCTTTACTCTCTACCCTATAGAAGTAGAGCTGTGGGGAACAGCAGGTCAGATAACAGGTTAAAAGGGTTGGCTAAAGTGGCTGGGGCAACAATAATAAAAATAATAACAAAATCCTCCTCTTCTCTGATGAGACCACACTTGGTGTCACTGCCAATGAAACAAGAGAACAAGGGTTCCTTCCTCACTGATGAAGGAAGAATGGAACTGTTTCATAAGCCTTTGCTTATCAGACTTTTAAATTAGTCCCTGCCCCCCAGACTTCCCCTGGAAATCTACCAGGGAGTGATATCTCAGAATCCACCCACAGTAAGTTAGTCAGGGAATTTTATTTACAACTGTTTAGCTTCATTATTGGCACATGTTTTTTTTTGTACACATATTTTTGTACACATACACAAACTGCAAAAGGTGAGCAAAAATAGGTGCATCTAAGTTCTGAGAAGAACCAGTCTTTCTAGAAAAAAATGTTGGAGGGGGGACAAAGTCAACTTGTTTAATTCCACGTGGTTACAAAACAAAAAGGGGAAACCCATTATTCAGAAAAGAAAAGGGAGATGCCTTTGGTCTTGGGGGTTCCTTAAAAAGTTGCTAAAGGGTTTTTCGTTTTTTGTGTGTGTTTTTTTTTCTCCTTTTCTTGTTTTGGTCATGGAGGGCAGGGCAACAGACACATAACAGAACTGGGAAAAAACTTCCAGATTGACTCATTTTAAAGATAAGGTAACTGCAGCCCCCAGAAAGAAAAAGATTTGCTCAACCTGAAGGGGGGGATGTCCGTCTGAGCTTTGCCTATCCATCCTTAGCTTTCTCGATCTCCACATGCCTCCCAGTGGTGCCACAGCAGCCACTTCCTGAGGCAACAAGAGACAGTGCGCCCACTGGCACTGTCTTGGCCTCTTCTCAGGCACCTTCCAGGGCAGGTGGCTCTGCTTGTAAGGGAGGGGTCCCCTGGATACAAGTCACCCACTCTAGAAACCAAGGTGCTGAGGGCTGAAAGGCCCATCTGTTGCAGTCAATTCGCCCAAACATGTAAACAAGCGAAAGAGACACACAGCACAAAGCAGCAGTCACGGGCTGTCCCCCTCCCATGGGACAGGCATTTTATCACCTGCAGCTGTGGTCATTCGGGGTGTCATGCTGTGTGCTGCCCCCCTTGGAGCCCTGTCTGCTTCCTATTTGGGGCAGCCTGCTGTGTCAAAGCTGCCCAACCCACTCCTAGTGTTTTCAGAGGCTCCTGTGAAATGCACTGCTCAGCCTACTTATTAGCCCTTGAGGATGAACTGCTGACCTGCTGCCAAGGCTCATGAGGCTTTTCCCTGGACCTGCTAACGAGAGCTGGCTCCTGAGTGCCCCAGACACTGATTCAGGAGTGACAAATCAGTCTCAAATGTCCAGGGCCCTTGGTCTCACTATTCTGTGAAGAGAAAAGACAGCAAGCTGCACATGATTAACAGGGTGGCCTGCCTCCAGGTCTCTTGGGTGGCCCACCTAATTCGGAGTCTCAGACAGTTTCCCAGGAAGAACATGTGCATTTAAAGGGAAGAAGCTCCACACCATCTCCCTGCCTCAGTGTCCCCTTCTCCAGTCCAGTCGCACACAGCTTGCCATGGACAGTTTCCTGAGTGCCCAGCACTGGCTCTCCAGCCTGGTGCTGCTGGCTCATCCGGGCCACAGCTAGGTTCTCAAAGCTGTTCTCTTGCTGGGGACATCCATGCAAGGTGCTCTTTTGTCTTCTCACCTGGGCTGGGAGAGGGTCCCAGCTCCCACACCTTTGGCACTCAAGTCACAGGAGGGGGGCACTGGCTGCATGCCTAATGCAGCCCCCTCTGGGCTCAGGCACTACTACCTGAGAGGAAGCATGGCCATTCCCAGCAAGTTTTTCTACAGAGAAAACCATAGATCTTTGCCCTCTCCCTAGCTTTCTGTCATCGGTTCTTGACATGTATAAATATTGAGATATTTTTTGTTTATCAAGATTGGGAAAGGGATGGTGCCCCCCCATAACTCAGTCCCCAGTCAACACACTGAGGCTGAGAAACCTTGATTTGAGTTACAATTGAGCACTGTCAATTGTTTTCCTTCTCCTGGTGATGCCAACAAGCCGTGAAATACTGAATGTAAGTGCTGAAGACGGGAAGATTTACTCAGGGCCTGATAACCATAAACTAACATGATCAAAGGAGTCACTTTGATCACGTACTCCCTTAGAAATGGACTGGAGCCAGCCTGGCAGCCCTGTCGCCACAGATGCTCAGTGGCAGGCCCTCTGCTGCGGACCTTCAACCGCAGGGCAGCTGCCTAAGCTCGTCTGGGTGAGCTGAGTCAGGAGCGCCAGCAGCACTGCCTCCTACAAGCCTCTCCGAGCACCACGCTCTATCTGGCTCTGTGCTAGCACAGGGACACAAAGAAATGACAAAGTAGCTGTCCTCAAGGTGCTCCTAGTCTAGTGGGGACAGAGGGTAGTAAACAATGATCATCTCTTGGCTAGGCTGATCTAACTTCCATTTTCCTTTAAAAACCCTCTGGGAACGAAGAAAAACAATAAAGTAGAAAATAAAGCACTGGTGCTACATTGCTGATTAAAATCTATATTGCTATGGCAGCCCCTCAGAGACGAAAGCAGCTCCTAGGTTTGCACCAGCTGGGCTTGTGGAGCTTGTAAATAATTAAAAGGTAATTGGAAGGGGAGACCGAAGTATTAAGTGGATTTCTCTCTCTCAGAGCAACCAGGGAGTTTCGCTGCTGCCAGTCACATTATCTTTTGGGATTATATTCTTGTTTTTTACTGATACATGCAGCTCCAAATAAGAGTTGGAGGAGTAAACTTATTAGGGTGGCTAAGATTGCTTTGAGAGGCTTGGCGATTAGGGATCACTGAGACAAAACTTTTGATTGTGACAGGCCACAGACATGCTATATAGAAGGCAGTGAGGTTTTAGAAGGTAAAGGGAAGGAGGAGGAAACAGTGAGAGATGAAGGTGGGAGGGTGAGGGAGCAGGAGAGGTGTTAACTAGGAATATTTAACCATGGCAGCTGCCATCAAAACTCACCTAAGATGCAGAAGAGGATTTCGTTCCCAGATCTCAAAAAATCATGCAAGCCAGGGATACACACGTGATCAGATACAGGACCCTAGGCAGAGGCTGGTGGGAACAGCATTCTCTTAAGGCTTTGTCCTGGGGTGATAAAGTGGAGCCAAAGAGGTGGCGAAGACCTTCCCTGAGGGAGCCTGGGATCCAGCCATGCTTACAGAAGGCTGACCGCACGGATGAACCCACTACTGTGCCAGGACACAAAGCCAGGGGACACAAAGCTGAGTCACTGTGTTTAAGGCTTAATCGTGCCCTAGTCCACAGCAGAGATAAATGGGTGGGTTGGGGGTGTGAGGCAAGAAAGACAGAGATATGGGAAGACACAGTAACAAGCAGATGCCTAGGTACCCAAGAGCTCAGCAGCAGGAATGGGCCCGTGTTGGATGCAAAGATCAAAGAGCTAAGGGAGAAAGAAGAAGGCTGGTCTTCCCTTTTCAAAGATCATTTCAGATCCTCCCAGCAAATCTTAAGGGACCTCTATTACTTCACTGGCTTTTTTAGTCTCTATAAGACTAGATGCACCAACAGAAAGCCACATATACTAGTTTAATTACATCCAGGGCAGCTCTAAGGTTAAGAAAAAAGTGAATTTGAATTTGAAATGACTCTAGAGACCAGTTAGAAAAAGAAAACAAAGAAAAGGCAGGACTATTTTGGATGATCATTCTATTCATTTTCTGTCAAGGCTCTCCCAGTCCTTTTCAATCTGTTTGTCAGTTATTGGGCTAATTATCTGCAACCAATCAGCAGGCCTTCTTAGCTAAGATACTGGAACCCCTTGGGGGGGGATAGCCAATAGCCACTTGCACACAGTAGGCACTCAGAAACCAGTCATGGAATTGAAATGAGGAGAATGCACACTCACCCCTTTTCTGCATGAAGATGAAGAGGTCATCCAGGAACTCCTTCCTTTCCGGATCACCATCCAGTTCATACAGCTGCAAGCCCGATCCCCCAGGGGGAAAAAAAACATCAAAAATTCCATCTTCTGCAGATGGTCTTACACAAGACACACAACTGTCTGGGTGACTGCAAATGTGACTCACGGCCACCCGTCCTTATTCCTTAGGGAGCAGATATGACATCCCACTGTGGAATTTTATTATGCCCGCCCCCTTTGTTATCACAAAGGAAACATTACAGACCTTGGCAAAATCTCGAGATATTTCTCTTCCCCGGCCTCCATCTGCATCATCACTCCAGGCCAAACCACCATTCTGAAGGGGAACAAAGTACAGAATTCAGAAGGGAACAGGAAGGGAGTGAGAGGGCAAGATCATCTAGTGGGGGAAGGGGAGGATTTTTGGCAAATGTGCTATCCTGGCTCACACCAAGCTCAGAGGTAAATGCCTTGGTTACCTTTACAGGGACATTGTGTTCTTACATTTTGTTTTCAATTATGGTTCCAAAGACAAGAGAGTCAGGTGAAAGAGTGATGTTCATTGGTTGGAGGGTGGGTGTTACTTATACCTGATAATCCCAGACAAGGCAACCACAAAGGCCTGATTTTATGCAAGCCTGCTCATCCCTAGCTGATCTTCTGGAAGCCATCACTCTGAGAGGCACCACTTTTCTGCTGGTTTTGCACATAGGTATATGTGTTTGTGTATTCCACAGAGAGTTTGTTTACTAGGCGGTTACCAAGACACCTAATCTGGAGCCTCCCTGGTGGAACAAGGAGTTAAGTCTCAGCACTATCAAGCTAATCAGAACCCACTGCAGCACAAATTCAATCCCCGGCCAGGGAGGTGACCCTCATGGTATAGCGGCCTCTCCTGTCTCGCCCGCTGCTTCCCTCAGCAGTGTACTTTGTTGATCTGCCTATTCTGCTCCCTGCTCTGTCTCTGATGAGCCCTCTCACCCCTCCCTTTCACCCCCACCCCACATACACACCTCTCTGGCCTGTACCCAGTTCTTGTGTGCATAAATAAATAACATAAATATTTGAGAGAGAGAGAGAGAGACCTTGTCTGGCAGCTAATACAACACTCAAAGTGGGGGGAAAGGGTCAAAGGGAGCAGGACATAGATCCTGAAATAGCAGTCTCTCAACCACTCCTCACTAGCAAGAACCCTATACAGTCCTCAGAACTTCTTCAGTGACATGAGACCACCCTCCCATGCCCCACCCTCCAGCCTGAGATTATTCCCAGAATAAAAAGACTTGGTGACATAAGGTGAATTTCATTTTCATTTGAGAAATATAACACACCTAATCCTAATATAACTGATTAAGTTACACCAACACCAACCAAATGAATGGGAGGTGACTGTGAATATACCTTTGTTTATATTCCTGAAACTTGCTATCTGCTGTATTTCACTGGGTAACACTACTCAAATCGGTCACCATCTTCTAGAAGCCTTCCTCTCACTCCAAGCTATGTTTAGTACTCTGGAGGCAGTCCCTGTCCGTTTTGAGCTTAGAGTTTAACTATTATTTGGAAGTTACCTGCCATTTCAACAATACCGTAAGCTCTCTGAGAGCAAAGGTGTCTCGTTCATCTTTGTAGCTCTAGCCTATAGCACACTGCCTGTCACTTACAGGCCCCAGCCAATGCTTGTGTACTACAGCCACTGTTAAAAAGCATTAACGGGCTACTTGAATTAATTAAGCGCCTCTTCAAATAATGGATACATTCAGTTACCACATAGGTGTCCTGGAGGCCCTCTGCTAGCAGGAAGCATGAAATGTCACAGAAGTCTGCTCTTTACTCTGCCCCGTGGGGACCAAGTGGACAGCACTGGGTGAGTGGAGCCTATCACATACTCATTTCTTCTCCAGGACTACAGGAGCACACAGGCCACCTGGCTGGTGGGGGTGTGTAAGTGGGGGGAGAGACATCTGGGCATAGGGAGCAGTGGTTTCTAAGGAGGACATTCTCTGGACTGCATAGGGGATTCATTGTAAAGCCAGACCAATAAAAGGAAAGCCTGGTCTAGCTCCATTCTCTCCCCTTTAATAAAGCTCGCCTGGGAGCAGGAGGTTATTATTCAGTTCCACTTAGGGGCCATACTTGGTTCTGAGACATGGTCCCACTTTCTAATAGCAGCAATTTGGGTCCACGGTGGGGTAAGGATAACCAAGAAGTCACCCCCTGTCAGCTGACATGAAACAGGCGACACGAATTATTTCCCTCCTTATCTGGTGAAAGAGTGTGTAAGGAAGTGCTAGTAAATGCTATCTCACTGCACACTCATCATCCCCCAGGGCAAATGTTGTAGAAATCTTCCTACAGCACCTTCAGCATAGGGAGGCCAATAGCCAAGCAGGAGCAACACTGTTTAAAAGGGGGGAAAAAAAGCTTAAACTCACCCCTCATTGTAATTACAGTCAACAGAAATCTGGTGTCATCTGGTGGCAACTAACACAATGAATAATCAAGATGAATCATGCCTGTCGGCTCAGCAGAACCAGACAGAGTTACAGTCCCTTTTCAAAGAAGGCAGTAGGTTGCCCTAATGCTGCTCAGTGATTACGTTTGAGCCAGTAATTCCTGCTGGAAAGTCAATTATCCCAGGAGCCCCTATCGGCTGAAAGACATTTAATGGGGGATCATTGCTGCTTCTGTTATGTCAGCTGTTTACTGAGCCAGCTCAATTCCCAACTCTCTAGCTGGAGAGCTGAAGCTGATTCTGTTCACAGGAGAATTCCTTCTCTATCGGTCACCAAGAGAGAAGAAAACAGTTTTTTGCTAATTACAATAACTTCCAGGCACTCTAAATGCTCACTCAGAAACTATTTAACACTCAGTAGGGTGGAGAGAACAGAATCCACAACCTAGAAACTCAGACAGCCTCCACTGCAGGAAAGCAGTGTAAAAACAAGCACAAAGGTGTGAGTATGTGTGAAAATAAACACCCAAGTGTCAGCACTGCAGGAACACACAGAACCCTTACAGGATGAAGCTGGGGCTGGGGCTGTCTTGACCCCTTCCTTCCTTTCTCCAACCTGCTCAAGCCACAGAATCCAAGCAGGAGGGTTAGATCTGGTACCAGCTATGATCCTTTAGTCTGAATCACTTAGCTTAAAAATCTGCTCAGTGATGGGATTTTATCCTGAAAGCCTTCTTGCTTAGTAACCAGAGAACACAGGAAAACCTGCCAGAACAGGATGGAAATGGGACACTGGACAATTGGAACAATCCCACTCTGCGGCCCATTCCAGATAGGAATGTCGGCTACTATTTAAGAAAAAAAGGGGCCAGAGAGTGGCTTGGGAGTGGAAGTGTTTCCTTTTTTCCAGCTCCAAGGCAGGCGGGGTCCAGTACCTAAGATAAAAAAAACTCCGTTGGGGATGATGGGCAAATGTCTACTCTCCATGTTACTTTCATTGTCTTGGGCCAGTTAAACTTTGGGCCTGCTTCACAGAATTTTATTTAAAGTGAGAGAATTCCTGGGCCCTGCCCTCTCTTCACAGTCAGTGGGAATGCTGTGTTCTCCAGGAAGCCTCTGCCCACCAGGCAGAATTAAGTCTTTCTCTCTTGAGCTAAACCACCTAGTTCTAGCAACTGTGCCCACTCTGCAAGCCCCTTATCAGGATACCCAGGCACACAGAAATCACTGACATCTGAAAACATGGATGGTTCCCCTCCACCACCCTAAGCTCCAACAGCACCGTGGCTGTTCCTCTCTTTCTTTTATGGGAGGATTACAGACTCAGTTTTCTTAGTTTTTAACTCTGATGATCAACCACTATCAAACTTGGCTCACATGTGCAATTAAAGTTTATGTGAAGGTGGGTTCTAAAACAGGTTGTGGATACGACTGCCACAACCTGTCAGCAGTCCAGAGGACAGCAGACACACAGAGAAGCCAGTGTGGGGAAAACACAGCCCCAAAGGGGCAGCTCACCAGTTTAGGGCTCAACACACACACACACACACACACACACACACAACGCTTCTGTAGAATGGTGTTTGCTCTGAGTCAATCCTAGGCAGTGGGCTGTGGAACTAAATAGCCTAGAAGTGTGTGTGGGAAGCCCCAGTAGCCAGTGTTCCGCTGATGGCCATTTACAACCTTCTTAGCCTCTCCTACTTGAGTCTCTCAGTTAACAGCTTTGATCTCACCAGGCGCTCACAGGAAGCATTCAGTTTGTTCCCAAATACTCACCTAAGATGGCTTTGGTTATTCTACCCACATACAGCTCATTTCCCGCAGGGAAGTCACAGAAGTTTTGCCTTAAATTCCTCACAAATGGCAGTGGAAGAAGGGAAGGAGAAAGGAGAGCAGTGAGCTGCTGTTCTCGCAACTTCTGTAAAGTAAGGCTGGGAAACCAGGAGCTCACAAGCATGCTTTCCCACTCAATTTACAACACAGCCGTAGTGATTTCAGAGATGGGGAAATAATGGCTCAAGAGAGCTGGAGCTATGTCTCCGGGCATTTGGAACTTCTGCGGAGCAGTACCCCTCAGATTTTAAAACCAGGTTTGTCTGGCTCTCTGTTACACCTACTGTTTGTGGGTTGAAAGAATTGTACAAAATGTTCTGGGTGGGGACATGGGGGGAGGAGGGGTGAAAGACTGCAAGGATAAAATCCTCTGCTTATAGAAAGCCTACAATGTCCAAGTCACAGCTCCCATGGTATGTATCAACGAAAGTCTTTTTTATTTTAAAGATTTATTTTATTTATTAATGCAAACAAGAGCTGGGGTGTAGGCCAAAGGTGTGTGGGGTGAGAGGATTCACCATTGACGGAGTTAGGCGTAGAAGAGGCAGACTGACTGAAGTACACTGCTGAGGGGAGGAGTAGGTGAGGCAGGAGAAGTCTGCTGCGCCATGTGGGTCAGCTCCCCTATGTGGGTCAGCTCCCCTGTCAATGAAAGTCTTAGTCCTTGATTCATCTCCCTGGCTTCAGCTGTTTGGAACATTCAGTCTCACACAACAGTCACCCAGGAGACATATATAAAGGTACTAAAGCAATTAGCACTGCTAACTTTTTACCACTACCTCTAAAACTGAACATCCTGGCTAGGATGAGCAGCCCTCATCCCCCAGGGGATGGAGATGAGGAGAGAGGCAAATACCACGCCCAAGGAAGAAGGCAACTAACACAGTTTCCTTTGTCATGCACATAAAGGTCTTCAGCAAACACTGAATCAACATCTAACCTGACTGCTACCCAAAATTAAAGCAGTGCTTCTGGGGCCCTATTTGGTGGCACAAAGGGTTAAAGCACAGCACTCGAAAGCTATCTGGCGCTGCGGCATGAAGTTC